TTTTTTTTTTTTCAGTTTTAACATAAATTTAGGTAGAACTAGCCGTTTCTTTTGTAAATAATTGTATATGCCACAAACAGGTCATATGGGGAGAGGTGGGTGGAGGTGGTGGGGCAATTTAAATACTTTGTTTTCTGTTCATCCTGAGATCTAGTATTTTCTTCTCAGGCCTGATATATATATATATGTTATCCACATCTTATTGGTGAGGAAACTGCAGTTCAAAGGCTTAAGTAACTTGCCCAATAGCATACAAATATATGGTGGGGAATCAAAAAAGCTCTTTAAGTTACATTGTGGTGTTATCACAATGTAAGTTACAAGCCCATCTATAGAGATAGAAGAGCCCCTTCTGTGCCCTTCTACCTGCACGGCGCTGCCATGCCTTATGTTATATGCGCTATCCCATAACCAAAGCCTGCTCTCAGGGGCGCCACACTGTGAACCGGGCCAAGGCTGGAAGCTGGTGACGGTGAAGATTAGAAAGTGGGTATGGAGCTGAGGCGTCGTTGCTCGCCCCTCACCCCCAATAACAGTGACTCACGGTGAGATACGGTGTTATTTTCGTGGTATATAAAAGAAGCTGAAAGACCACCCAGAGCCTGGCACAGTGGTTGCATGGCCACCAGGGACCCAGGCTCCCTCCTCTTCTGCTTCACTGCTCTGGGCATGGTTTCCAGCATTCTCAGACAGTGAGAAGGACATGGATTGCGGGCCGCCCCCCCCACCCCCACACACACACACAGCCATCACTCCTGGGCAGCCGCGCTGAGCACGCGCGCCATACCATCATTCCTGTCATTGCATTAGCCAGCTCTGCTCGGCCGCTCTTGCCGATGGGCACTGTGCTGCCCCGACTGGGCGGGGTAGTGAGGAGTGAAGCGCCTGAGTGGCAGGGTTGTGTCTCCACAGTGAGCGGAGGAGGAGCGCCTGACCGTCTGTCTTCTACTCTCTCAAACCATCTAGGCAAACGACGAAAATCCAATCCCAAACCCCTTGTTCTGAGCGAAGCCAGAAAGCAGTTAATGATCTACAGACTACCTCAGGTCCTCCGGCTGCACCTTAAACGATTCAGGTGAGCGTGTGTGGGGAGTCCCACAGCTGAGCTGTGGGAATGGCAGCTTCCAAGGTTTCTGTGAGGACACGTCTCTTCTTTGGTGTTGGGAGGAGAAGCCTGTTCCCGAGACACCGTGCTGTCTTTCCATGGGGAGTACATGCCTCTGCCCGTGGGCGGGGGGAGCCAGCAGGACTGGGCAGCTGTGCCCACAACTCTTCCCGACTGGCCAGCCTGCCCGGGGAGTCTGTGCAAGGTTTGCTAGCCTGACTGGGGCTCAAAGGCTACGAGCAGCCATGAACAGAGCAGGCAGTAGGCGATAAGCCAAGTGTCACCTACCTTGCTTGTTTAGCTTCCGCTTATTGTGGAAGCGTCACAGGTGGCCTCTGGGGACAGTGATGGGAATGCTAAAGCAGGAAGGTTCTGAGTTCCTCAGCCCTGCTCCGCCTACCTCTCCCTGTGATCACGTTATGTCCCTGTCCTAGGTGGTCTGGCCGTAATCACCGAGAGAAGATTGGGGTCCATGTCGTCTTTGACCAGGTATTAACCATGGAACCTTACTGCTGCAGGGACATGCTCTCCTCTCTTGACAAGGAGGCCTTTGCCTATGATCTCTCCGCAGTGGTCATGCATCACGGGAAAGGGTTTGGCTCAGGACACTACACAGCCTATTGCTACAACACAGAGGGAGGTGCGTGCGCTCGACTCTGTGGGGTGGGGGACCCGGCAAAGGGTTGGTCTGTCCACATCCCACTGCCTGCCTTTTATTTCAGCCCCACCGTCATCCACGGGGAAATGACAGACATTGAACCCTGGGGGAAGAATTAGGAAGCTTGGATGCTGATCCCGGAGGGATCACATTCCAAGCACCTGAGATGTCAAGAGCCTCGCACGTGGCACTTGCTCAGTCTCTCTGGGTTATTAATGCTACTCTTCGTTCTTAGAAACAACCCCTGCCCCCCCCCTTCCCCCCCAAAAAAGAACAAAAGCCTCACCGCCACAGAGTCACTTTCAACTCATAGCAACCTTGCAGGACAGGGGACCTGCCCCCTTTGAGTTTCCAAGACTATAACTTTATGGGAGCAGTCAACCTCTTCTTTCTCCTGTGGGGTGGCTGGTGGTTTTGAACTGCCAATCTTGAGGTTAGCTGTCCACTGCCTACCCCTACTGTGCCACCAGGGCTCCAAATCTTTATGGAAGCAGACAGCCTCATCTTTCTCCTATGGAATGGCTGGTGGATTTGAACTGTAGAACTTGTGGTTAGCAGCCCAGCATCTAGCCCGCAGTATCACTAGGTTAAAGTTTCTTTAACCTCATGGAGCTATAAATCTTACTGGCCTACACCCACAGTAAAACTGAGGTCCATGACCGAGTACTTGCTATGCCCTGGGCACCATGGGAGGTGTGGCGTGAAAAGGACACCCCCACCCCCCACCCCACCCCACCAGCTTCCAGAGGAGGGCATCCCAGCTTCGGCCTGAGGCAGGTGGGCTGTAGGTGCATGCTCTGTACTGTACACACCTATATGCCCTCAGCCCACAGGGCAGCCAGAGCCTGTGAACAAGTCATTTCCTGTTCCCTCTAAATCCCCACCCTCCCTCCTCTGTCTGGCTCCCTCCTCTGCCCAGCCTACTCTCCTGGCTCTTTGTAGAAGGCCCCCATGGGCGGGCAGTGAGGGAGCCCGAGTTGGATGAGCCGCGGGCGGAGGACTGTAAGCAGCGTGGGAGTGGGGTGAGCGGGAAGGGGGGTGAGCCCAGTGGAGACGCCACAGGGGCTCCTGCTGGTTCTTTCACCTGTCTCACCCCGGGCCCAGAACCCTGAGGGCTGCCCATCTCCAGAACTCCCGTGTCCCTGGGTCATCACACGTCTCTCTCTTTGGCCCCTAGGTTTTTGGGTGCACTGCAACGACTCCAAGCTGAACGTGTGCGGGGTCGAGGAGGTGTGCAACACCCAGGCCTACATCCTCTTCTACACTCAGAGGGCCGTGCAGGGCCACCCAAGGGTCTCGGCAACCCGCCTCCAAGCTCAGGTGCAGCCCGGCGACAGCGGGGAGGGCCTGCCACGGACATTCCCCTGAGCGGGAGCCAGGAGCCCGCCCTGGCTGGCTGGCCAAACTACTGGTGCTCACACAGCTTCCCTCCCGGAGGCGGGCTGCAGGACAGAGCACCCAGTGGGGCTTCCTGCACATGACCTCCCAGAAAGCCCCTAGTCGCTTCCTTTTGAGTGGATTTGGAGATTCCCTCTTCCATAAAACAAATCAAAAGGAGTACCTTCTATGAAGATCCAGAATATCGAGGGGCCTGGGTAGAGGAAGGGGGCATCCAGAAGCCCGGTTTTCCCTCTGTAGTGCGGCTGCCCTGGCTCCAGGGGCCTTCTGGCCTCTCAGTAGTTGGCCCTGACCGTGAGGGCAGCCCTGGCCGGCAGCATGCGTTGGGTAGGACTAGGCCACTAGGGAGCAGTGAAGTCCAAGTCGGTTCCCACAAGGGAAGTCGCCCACCAAGGTGGAAAATACAGATGCTTCCTTCCCCGTGGGTACCATGAGGGAGAAGCATGGCGATCTTCCCATGCAGGGTGGGAGGAGGGTCTTTAGAGTCAGACCTTGCCTGGCTGCGCCTGCCACCTCACTGTTCCGTACCTCTCAGACTGCTTTGAAGGCCCTTCCTTCGATGGAAGGGCCATTCGTGTGTCATCTGGTGCAGGATGGGCAGAGGGCAGTCCTGGTACTTGGTGTGGGGCTAGGCCAAGGACCTGGCGTTGTTTACATCGGGTCAGGGAGGGTGGGCACCGGGCAGCTGGCAGTCCAGCCTGCAGCGACTTTGCTACATCTGGAGGTAGAACCGGAGTGCTCAGCACCAGGCTCAGGAGCTCTTGTTTGTCCGGGGATGGCTTAGAAAGCCACCTCTGCGTGCCCAAAGTTTACTGCTGACAGTTGGGACCGCTTTTCTCCAAACCCAGTTTCCCCACCACCCACCCATTCAGATCAAAACCTATGGCAATGCGGCGCCCCTCATGCCAGTGCTCGTAAAGGCCACCTGGTTTTCAGTCGGCGCTGCTTGTAAGCAGGACGAAGCTGCTACCCTGGAAGCCCTCTCCCACCAGGCACCTTCACGACCCATTGCGTAGGTGCCGGGTGGATGAGAGCAAGGGGTGGGCAGCTGCTGCTGGGGCACCACAGCTGTCCTTGTCTGAGTGTCATGATCACATGTGGGTCAGGTAGAAGTGCAGCTGGCACTTGAAGGGAGCTGGGGGGAGGCGGGGAGTGGGCAAAGAGGGGCCAAAAGGATGAGGGCTGGCAGTGTCTTTAGTGAAACTGAAGGCCGCCTTTCTGGAGCATTGTGGCCGTGGCGCTCAGCCTCTTTTGCGATGAACGCTCCGGTAGGACATGCCACCCAGGCGGAGCCACAGAGGAGACGCAGCCATCAGGCTCACCCTGAGAGAGAAAGGGCAGCGACTATGTTTTAAATTAAACTTGCTTTATCCAACACTGTGAGGTTTCTGTAATACTTAGCTTTTGTTTGGAAGCGGTAGCGTATGGCATTTTTTATGCTGCTTGGTTTAGATTGTCTACTGCAGGCCTCTGTACAAGCTTTGCCCAGGCTCACTCTGGCCTGGACACTGTTTTAAAGTGTCACAGTGCCCATGCTACCAGAGGCTTTGTAGTCCAGCTGCCCAATCTAGTGCCACAGGAGGAGTGACTGTGATGGGCGGTGACTTCCTGTGGTGGCAGACACGGCCGCTAACTTAAAAACTAAGGGAGATATAAACCGTGCCTCATCTTTCATCGAATTCTATATTTATTATTCTTAGAAAAAAAGGACTTAAAGATGGAGAACTAATAGAGCGTCTACTTCCTCCCTCAGGCTGTTCCAGGGGGGAGTTATTAATAAACATTTAATGGAAAATGAAAAGATCTTCAAATTTAATTTTTAAAAATAGTTTTATACCAAATGTTATAAGGATTATTAAGCAGATTAAGGACTGTGTCAAACAAGTGCTTAACTGAGCTAAGTACCCATGTAGCAAATTAGTAAAGTCGTTTCAAAAGAAGTCGGCATAGAAACCAGTAGTGGAGTCCCCGCTCCGGCCCGCACTGCGGGGGGCGGGGGACCCCAGCATGCGGGTCTCCTGAAGCAGTCCTTGCTGGCCAGCCAGCGGCTGTCCTTTGCCTCACATGTATTGACATCTTGGAGGTAGGCGAGTTTCTCAGTTGCATCTTTATGTTCATTCGAAGCATTCTAAAGAGAAGAAAATCAGATCCCAGCAGAAGTTGGCCTGATGCTGCCAGGTTCAATCCAGTCTCTCTGCACGGGCCCCAGGGGCCTGCTTCTCCCAGCTGCCCGATGTCACTGGCTGGCGTTGTTTACTCTGTTGTTGCCGGCCCAGATGCATGCCCCCGGGCCCTCAGAAGTCCACATTTACCTCCATATGGGTGGCTCTCTCCCTGGTGGTCCCTCGAGAGGAGCATCCATACTAAGTGTTTGAGAAACACTGAG